GATGGCTCAGTCAGTTGAGCATCTGCCTTTGGCTCAGGTCATGATCCCAGGGTCCTGGGATGGAACCCCACATAAGGCTCCCTGCTCAGCAGGGATCCTGCTTCTCCATCTCCCTCTGTCCCTCCCCCCTGCTTGTGAGCTCTCTCTCAAATAAATAAAATCTTAAAAAAAAAACTCACAGAAATGTGTATAGAATTCAGAACAACTATTTTAAATTCAGAACTGTTTTTTAAAAATCTAAAAACGTAAAAAAAAAAATCTAAAAAAGTAGATTAGTTTTTCTCTACTTAATCTTCTACTATTCTTCCACTCCAACTCTAAGCAGATGACTTATTTTACTAAATAAATGAGACTAAGTGAGATCATCTAAGCAATGATCTCTTTCCTCTACTCTCCTCAGTGTATCTATTTTCTAAACCCACACAAAATTTTCATCCTCTTGAAGGTAACTTCTCCCAGTACCGTGGGGACAGTCTGCTCAGTTCCATAGGGATAATACTCCCACTTCCTAAACCAGAAATTCTCCCTTTGCTCTCTCCTAACAACTTTTCCTCTCAGCTGAAAAAACTCACTTGACCTGACTGTGCAAAGAACTTGCTCAATTTCTTTACTAGGTTACACTGTGAAACTGTGGTTTTCACTCTGACTTCTCTAGCCCATGTAAACCACTTCTTTTTTCTTTTAAATTGACTTGCCCTTTAGTTGTCATGTCAATACCGTTTTTCTATTTCTCTCTTTATTTTCTGAATACTGCTTACGTTGCCTTGCCTTAGTCCTATTCTTTTTCTACCTTGTAGAAGGAAATAGGAAGAAAAAAAAACTACTTTCAAAGTAACTCAACCATGATACCAAGAAGGTGGCAGGGAAAATGAAGAAATGGTAAATTCAAGTACTTCAAGTACTCTGAAAGAAGAAATTAAAGGGCATAGTGATATACTGAATATAGTTTTAGAAGAAAATGGGGAAAAATCTAAGAACATTCCCAACCTTTAGCTTTAGCATGGAAGAATAATGTTGCCTTTCACAGAAATGATGGGAAAAGAAACCTGACTTGAGACAGACAGATGGTAAAATCAAATTTAGGCATTCCCAAAGCAGCTGCCTAGATCATGAAGGAAACTGGAAACAGGGAACTAGTTAAAAGGTGAAAATTAAGAGCTGACAATGTGGCTTTATGGTCCAATAATTATGAAAACCTGTACATAATGCTTTAGCACTTACCATGCAAATATATAACATATACATGATAGCTGAAGAGAGCTGTTTTCCAAGAATAAAAAAAAGTACATCAGAGTTCTTAATTTATGATGTGATAACACTTGGTAAAAAAAGACAGAGAAATGCATGGATCAATTATTTTAGCTGATGGGACCAGTTGGAGCCGTGCTTAAAGACAATTCCAAGTCACAAATGGATCCCTTAATTCTCTGTCTACTCATACAATCCTGTCTAGAACATGGTCCACAGAATGTTATCCATATGGTCAGAAACTCACTTTAAGTCAAGAGTTATTAACTCAAAGGGGGAGAAAAGTACATTTTAAAGAATTATCAGAAAACAAAGGGCTGTATTATTACCACTCAGGTCAAGACAGAATACAGCCAGCACTCCAAAAGCCTCCCTATGCTTCCTCCCAATCACAAATTCTTCCCTCCTTCTAAAGTTTACAGTTTTGGGGCACCTCCGTGGCTCAGTTGGTTAAGTGTCTGACTCTTGATTTTGGCTCAGGTAATGGTCACAGGGTCGAGAGATCGAGCCCCATGTTGGGCTCCGTGCTGGGTGTGGAGCCTGCTTGGGATTCTTTCTCCTTCTCCCTCTATCCCCCCCTGCCCTGCTCATGCACTTTCTCTAAATAAACAAATAAGTAAATAAAAATTAAAAAGAAAGTTAACAGTTTTTCTGAATTTTATGATAGTTACTTCCTTGCTTTGTATAATTTTGTAGACTGTGCATAAAAAACAATTTCATTTTCCCTGTTTCTAAAGTTTTTATTTAAAAAAAATAATAAAACTCATATTTCTTTTGTGTCTGGCTTCTTTCCCACAATATTATGTTTATGAGATTCATTTATGTTGAATATAACTCAAAGTCCATTCATTTTCATTGCTGTATAATATTCTATGAATATGTCTCAACTTGTTGTCCCTTCTACTATTAATGGACATTTATTTTTTTAAAGATTTATTTATTTTAGAGAGAGAGCAAGAACGAGCAAGGGCGAGTGGGGTGAGGGGCAGAAGAAGAGGGAAGGAATCTCAAGCAGACTCTCCGCTGAGCACGGAGCCTGATGCGGGGCTCAATCTCACGACCCTGAGATCATAACCTGACCTGAAATCAAGAGTCCAACGCTTATCCAACTGAGACACCTAGGTGCCCCAACTAATGGGCATTTAATGTTTTCATTTTTTGGTTTTCAGCTTTGGGTTATAGATAATGCTGTTATCTGAACGAATATTCTTCTACACTCCTGGTACACATATGTCTCTTTTTAGGTGCTTAAAAAGGATAATTATCTTTAACTAGATAACTATTTTCTAAATGAGCTATATTAATTTATACTCTTATTAACAGTGTATGAGAATCCCTGTTGCTCAAATATCCTTATCAACACTGTCATTCTGTTTAATCTTAGCTCTTCTGGTGAGTGTGCAGTGATATGGCAATGTGACTTTAATTTGCATCTCCCTGGTTAGTAGTGTGGCTGATCACTTTTTCATATGGTTACTGGCTATTTGGATATCTTTTCTGTGAAGTGCCTGTTTAAGTATCAACCATTTTTTACGTTTTTTTCTTAATGATTTACATGAGTCCTCTGTATTTTCTGGATTGAACCCTTTGGCGGTTATAGATGTTGCAAACATCTTCTATTCCAAGGCTTGCCTTTCTACTCTCTTAATGGTGTCTTTTTTTTTTTTTTTAAGATTTTTTTATTTCTTTATTTTACAGAGAGCGAGCACAAGCAGGGGGAGAGGCAGAGGCAGAGGGAGAAGCAGACTCCCCGCTGAGCAGGGAGCCCAACATGGGGCTCGATCCCAGGACCCTGGAATCATGACCTGAGCCGAAGGCAGCCGCTTAACCGACTGAGCCACCCAGGTGCCCCTTAATGGTGTCTTTTGATGGAACTAAAGTTCTTAATTTTAATGATATCCAATTTATTAATCTTTTCCTTTATGGTTAGTGCTTTTTGTGTCCGATTTAAGCAGTCTTTCCCTACGTCAAGGTCATGAATGTTATTCACCTTTATCATCTTCTGGGGGTTGTTTTATTGTTTTGCTTTCACATTTATTCTATAGTCCACCTGGAACTGAACACTGTGTGATGAGAGAGGGAGATGCCAAGTTTCATATGGCTATCCAATTATCTCAGCACCATTTACTGAGAAAATGGTCTTTCTCTCACTGATCTGCAATGCCATCTTTGTCATAAATCAAGTGTTCATGCATTTATGAACCTGTTTCTGGGCCCTCTATTCTAATCCACTGGTCTACTTGTCTTTTTTCACACCAACATCACAATGTCTTAAGTACTGTAGTGTTATAAAATTGTAATATCTGGTAGCTCAATTCCTCGTGTTTTGTTCTTCTTCAACAGTGTCTTGGTTATTTTGGTGCTTTGTACTTCCACTTTTTTTTTTTACTTTTTAAGTAAGCTCTACACCCAACATGGGGCTTAAACTCAAGACCCCAAGAGCAAGAGTTGCGTGCTCTACCGACTGAGCCAACCAGGCACCCCTGTACTTCCATTTTAGAATCAGCTTATCAAGTTATACATACACAATCATCCACACACAGAGTAAGCATTTTCATCGGGATTGTGCATTGAATCTGTAGATCAGTTTGTGGAGAACTGATATCTTTGAAATATTGGGTCTTCTAATCCATGAACATGGTCTAATCCTTCAAATATTTGAGTCTTCTTTAATTTTTGTCAATATTTATTGTTTTCCATATAGATGCCTTATATATCTGTTGTAGTTTATTTCTAGGTACTTAATTTTTTTCCTACTATGACAAACGATATCTGTAGTGGATTGAATGGTGGCTCCCCGAAAGATATGTCCACATCCTAACCCCCAGAACTTGTGAATGTGATTTTATTTGGCAAAATCGTTTTTGCAGATGTAATTAAGTAGAGGATCTTGAGGTTGAGATATCCTGGATTATCTGGATGGCCCCTACATCTAATGACAAGTGCTCTTATCAGTAAATTATTAGTAAAAAGCAAAAGGAGAAGAAGACCATGCAAAGAAGGAGGCAGAGACTGGAGTTACCAGCTAAGAAATGCCTATGGAAGCTGGAAGAGGCAAGGAAGGATTCTCCTCTAAAGCCTTTGGAGGGAGCACGGCCCTGTTGATTTCAGATGTCTTGATTTTAGACTTCCAGCCTTTAGAAATATGTATGAAAGAATAAATTTCTATTGTTTTAATCCATCAAATTTGTGCTACTTTTTTATAGCAGTCCTATGAGACAACTTGTTTTACCCAAGAACATTCTTGTTTCTCTCCAACCAACCAAACCAATCTCCAAAGGTAACCACACTTAATGGCAGAGAAGATGTACATGTCTACATGAACATAGGAGACACAAACTTTTAAAAGAAAGTAGTATTCTGGGTGCCTGGGTGGCTCAGATGGTTAAACGTCTGCCTTCAGCTCAGGTCATGATCCCAGGGTCCTGGGATCGAGCCCCGCATCAGGCTCCCTGCTTGGTGAGGAGCCTGCTTCTCCCTCTCCCTCTACTGTTCCCCCTGCTTGTGCTCTCTAGCTCTCTCTGTCAAATAAATAAATAAAATCTTTAAAAAAATAAAAAATAAAAGAAAGTAGTATTCAGATGTACCAGCTATCCTGTTGCTGTTTAATATGAGTGAGGAATGTCATTTCATACATAGGCCAGCATGTGTGATACCAAATCCCGGCTCTGATCACTTACACTATCATACATAATATATTGAAAGTGAACAAAATGAAGATGCTTCAAAGACAGAAAGTGGCTATGTTTCACAAATGACACTGGCAAGACCGGAAGTAACTTGCTTATAACATTAAACTAACCATTTTTCGGTGGACTGCAATGATGTAGCCTGTAAAGGAATTGTCAGGAAGAGATGGCATATGACCATTCACCATTCCATTTGTGAAGTTTTTCTCAGTTCCACATGGCACAACAGTGTTTGGCATTCCATTGGGTATGAATATTGGTCGGGGCAAGTCCCCATTGGTGGATAGAGTGAACATTCCATTTGTAGATGGGGAAGAGGAGAAATCTACAAATTCAAAGATAAGTATAGCATCATAAGCTTGTGGTGCCTTCATCTTTGCTCTTTTCTCAAATAATGTGGGGACTCAGACCACTGTAGTACAGTCTCTTTCAGCAAAGGACAGGGAGAAATCATAGTTCAAATAATAATTCTAGATTGATTAGAAGATTTTAATTTCAGATTTTACTTCTATAACTCACACTTAAGACTAAATGACAAAGCAGAGTAATTGCTGGAAAGTTTCCTGAAAAGTATAAGTAAAATTTTTGTAAGAACCTTTATCAGCACCATATTGTTGCACGCAGTTTTCTTTTTCCTCTCTACAAATTCATTTCTCCATTCTCTTAAAAATGTTTAGTTGAATACAGTAGTCTCTAGCTAAATGTTGCCTTTTTTTTTTAACTTTACACAGATTTCCCATATACCCTAGGTCTCCACAACTGCAAAGCCTTCCCCATTAGCAACAACCCCCCAACCAAAGTTAATATATTTGTTACAAATGATGATGAAAGATACTTTTTAAATTTAAATTAAAAATGCAATTTTTTCAGTCTCAACAGTGCTCAACACTCCATGTAACTAATGGATATTCTATTGGATGCAAAAGGTTATATGATAGACAAACAATACTATATGGTCAAAAAGACTCAGATAACCATATCAAATCACATGCAATATTGATAAACAGTAATTCTTCTTTTGTTTTTATTCCCCACCCCAACCCTAAAGAGAGTATTTCTTAGTTGTGTTTATTATTTTGTTTTCTGATAGTATGTATCTCTTATGCCATCTGTTGCCATGTTAGTGTCAGATAAAAAGAATTAAGAGATCTGAATTCCAGGGGCAGATTTAGTTAAGCATCTACATTGTCACTTACATTGCCTGAATTTTAGGCTCCTTGTCTAAAAAATGAGGAATTTGAGCCAAATGATCACCAAGGTTTCCATCAGGCTCCAAAATTCTTTTGCCCAAATATCCTTAGCCCAAACAAATATAAACCCAGTATTTAAAGCTAAAATCACAAGAAGGAGCTCTAGTTCTACCTTACCTGTCTGTATTGGACTAGAAGCTGAAATTGGAGATCCAGGAATGGGGATTTCAAATGCACACAAAAATCCACTTACTGAAAGTCGTACTTTTTGGTTGTCCTGAGGGAAATTCTACAGAAAAAGAGGTAAGATGAGAAGGGGGAAATGCTTCAGATAAAATGGAAAATCATCTCTCTGATACATACAAGTTAATGTCTTAGATGCTTTCACCAATAAAACAAACAAGATGACTAATTTTTCTCAAACAACTAAAAGATGAAAGCTTGATAAACTGACTGAAAACTAACCTTACTGACAAAACCGTTATCCCTTTCCATAGGAAAGAAGTATATTGTGTATAACTGGCTCCTTAAGTTTTGTCCCTCATTTCAAGCATCTAAACCCCAACCTCAGAGAGTTCTTACCTTTGCTTTACACATGAGAAAAACATCAATTAGGTGAGTTTCATACCCAAAGATAAATATTAATAATGCCAATGGTATGAGCTCAATTCAGGGTAGGTAACATATTTATTATTTTATTAAAATTGTTTTAAAACTTATTTTATTTAAATTCAATTAGTGGGGGCACCTGGGTGGCTCAGTCGTTAAGCATCTGCCTTCGGCTCAGGTCATGTTCCCAGGGTCCTGGGATTGAGCCCCGCATCGGGCTCCCTGCTCAGCGGGAAGCCTGCTTCTCCCTCTCTCACTCCCCCTGCTTGTGTTCCCTCTCTCGCTGTCTCTGTCAAATAAATAAGATCTTTAATAAAAAAAATAAAATAAATTCAATTAGTGTATCATTAGTTTCAGATGTACAGTTCAGTTATTCATCCAGTGCTCATTACATCACTTGCCCTCCTTAATGCCCAATACCCAGTTACCCCATCCCACCCCACCTAAATTTATTTTTTTGTTTCAAGTTTTTATTTAAATTCTAGTTAGTTAACATATGGTGTAATATTAGTTTTAGGCAATATATTTGTTAAATTGCTTATTTTTGTAGCTGGTATGCAGGAAGAAGTGACTTATGTCAATTTGTCTTTGCTCTCTAACTTCTTAAGAGTATTGAAAGGCCAGGTGTATATATTCATAAAGAAACAGTAAAAGCACACATTTATAAATATGTATAAAATTTTAACCTAGGAAGACTTCTAGTGAGTGTGGTAATATAGAAGAGCTGTAAAGTGTAGCAGCAGTAGTCAATGGGGGAATTCTATACTGTAGTGACACAGCTAGATTACTCCATATAGACAGCACTGGACTTATATATTTCCCTTCTTTAAAAATGCCACTATCATTATTACTTCTTTATGCTGGCAGATAACCCTTTTTAAAGTTTCTGGGATGGGAAACTTGAGACATTTTTTTGTTCAGTTTTTGCTGTTATTAATATCTCCTTCGGTCATTAATTGATAAAACTGTGATTTTTTTTTATTTAAAAGATTTATTTTATTTATCTGAGAGAGAGAGCGGGGGGAAGAATAGAGGGAGAAGCAGACTCCCCGCTGAGCATGGAGGTGGATGCACGGCTTGCTCCCAGGACCCCGAGATCATGACCTGAGCTGAAATCAAGAGTCAGCCACTCAATCGACTGAGCCATCCAGGCGCCCCGAGAAAACTGTGATCTTTGAAGGATGGAATCAAGGGTTTCTTAGAAAGAATAGTTAATATTACCTTTATGTTGGAACCATGTACTTCTGCAAGAAGGATTTGTTCTGATTTAAGCCCACAGAGATCGCTCAGCTGTTTTTTTAATCCCGTGTACTTTTCATCCATATTCAGTCGTAGTCCATATCGTACAGGGGTAGTACCATCCAGCTTAATAACTAGTAAAGAAAAAACATCTTTTATCAGTAAAATGCAGGTTTCATTGAAAGCTTTCCTGTGTGTGTGTGTGTGTGTGTATGTGACTTGGAAATAGCAAACATTTCAGTCTAGAATTTGTTTTTTAAAGATTTTATTTATTATTTATTTGAGAGAGAAGGATAGAACATGAGCAGGGGGAACAGCAGAGGGAGAGAGAGAAGCAGATTCCCCGCTGAGCAGGGAGCCCAATGTGGGACTCGATCCCAGGACCCTGGGATCATGACCTGAGCTGAAGGCAGACACTTAACCGACTAAGCCACCCAGATGCCCCTCAGTCTAGAATTTTTATTTTATTTGTAAACTACAATAGATAGTACTCGGGGATGATATTGAATGAAATCATTATTTTTTGATGTTCGTCTGCTATAGAAGTGTGAATGGCTTTGCAAGATTTTAAAGAGTTTCTGGTATGTTTGAAACAATAGAGAAATCAATGGGTACATGGCTTGGACCTATACTCCAGGTTTTTCAAACTTCAAATTATGCCTAAAATTAGATTGCTAGATTATAACATGCTGGCCAATTTTTATGAGAATGCATTATAAAGAAATGACTATACTTACAAATTTGGGTTACCTGGATAAGGTAAAAGAATGTATTGAAGTAATTTTTCGGAACTTTGTGACCTACCTGTTATTTCTAAGTGCATATAACTGTCCATTGGTAGTGGTAAAGACAAAAAATTGAAAGGGTCAAATCGGACACTTATATGCCCACATGTCTTGCATCTGACTTGGGATCTCAGCTGCCCGTGGAACAAATCCACAACAATTGATCTATTCCTTCTCAGATGGTTGTCCCAGGCCTAGCAAGGAAAAAGATTAGAAAACTTTTTTTTCCCCCAAAATTCAAAAGATAATTATTTCTACACAAATTCAAATAAATTGGCTAAATCTATTAGGTTTAAATGTCAAGAATATAATCCTCTGAAACTAATATAATATTGTATGTAAACTATACCCCAATAAAAAAAAGAACATAATCCTTAATCTTCATTTAAAACATGGAAGCTTTCTGCCTGTAAATTTACAATGCAGATATGTAATGTAAAAGGTACCACCTACTGAGATAGTACAGAACACCAGTTTTTTTTTTTAAAGATTTTATTTGCCAGAGAGAGAGAGACAATGAGAGAGGCAACACAAGCAGGGGGAGTGGCAGAGGGAGAAGCAGGCTTCCTGCCGAGCAGGGAGCCCGATGCGGGGCTCAATCCCAGGACCCTGGGATCATGACCTGAGCTGAAGGCAGACGCTTAACGACTGAGCCACCCAGACGCCCCAGAAAACCAGTTCTTGAATGGAATGTGATTCTTTCTGTTCAACCTATATGATATTAAATACAGATGGAAAATCCTATTTTTTTGTTCTTACCATGGTGACAGTGATGAGTATTAAAGCTCTTTATCCATTAAAAGGCAGATAAAACATGTCTATTGGTCACTGTACACGTTATTTTAGCAATTATGGGGACTCCCAAGTTCTACTGAATAATTATTCCTACATTCTTTCCCAAAAGTTTACAATGTAAAAAGGCAACATTTTAAAATCTGCATTAAAGATGCTTTGTTTTGGTGTTACTGAACAAGAATTAAACAGAGAAATATAAATTCCTTCACTTCCACAGTACAATTCTGATCACAGAATAGTTTAGCTAGCATTTAAGCTGTGCAACACACATTCATGGTCAGAACATTTGATCTATTGCTTACATTAGAAATTCAAAACTGACAAACCTCTGCAGCTACTTCCCAGTCTGGTCGGCCATCGCTGTCCTTCAGTTCCACATATGGCTTCTCATGGACTCGGTTGAGATCCTCATGAAGACCATCCAAGAGAAAAGCCAGAAGTTCTTGGGAGTCTTGTTGCTGGAACCCGTTAAACCTGGGAGCATATTTTGCTATGGTCCACTATAAATATAACAGGAATCAAACTCATTATTTGCTACCCCATAAAATTTGGAATGAATATGACCCATCATTCATTCAGAGGCATTATGAGAAGGTAAACAGTATTTAGTCTGCCTCGATTTCAGCAAATATATTTTGAATAATCACAAAATCTTTCTAGTCTTAATCTCAAATGACAAGGAAAAAAAGGTATTTTGGCCAATACTGTGTCCCAGTTCAGTATCATATAAGCAGTTCTTTAGGTACACAGATATTATTTAAGACAGGTAGGACAGAAATATTAAAATAGCCTTTGCTCTCATTGAAAAAGTTCCTGTTATAGTTTTCTTTTGCAGTTAACTCTTCTAGTCTTGTATCCTAACTTTTATTATTAGAGGCAGAACAGCCTTGTGTTTAACTGTGAGGACTTAACTAACTAGCTTATAATCTTGGGCAAGCTGTTTAACTGCCCTGAGCCTTAGTTTCCTAAGCCATAAAATGAGGATAATAATATTGCTTTACATTCTAGGATTACTTAGAAGATTAAATGAGTTGATATATATAAAGTAATTAGAATAGTGCTTGGAAGTGGTTAAGTAGTCGAAGTTTTAGTTATTATGATTAATTTTTAATCTAAAAAAGTTTGTATTGTTTTTAAAGATAAAAAATAATCCTAAAAATAATAATCCTAACTTTATTACATATAATATAAAATTTGTATCCATGAATTTCAGTAATATACATTCTTTCTGCTTTTTATTTTTAATTAAATTAATTATTTTTAAATTAAGCTCCATGCCCAGTGTAGAGCCCAATGTCAGGGTTAAACTCCATCACCGTGAGATCAAGACCTGAGTTGAGAGAGTTGGATGCTTAATCGACTGAGCCACCCAGGTGCCCCTCTTGCTGCTTTTTAAGATTCTATAGGTGGGGGACCTGGATAGCTCAGTCGGTTAAGCATCTGCCTTCAGCTTGGGTCACAATCCCAGGGTCCTGGGATTGAGCCCCACATTGGGCTCCCTGCTCAGCGGGGAGCCTGCTTCTCCCTCTCCCTCTGCTTGCCACTCCCCCTGCTTGTGCTCTCTGGTCCTCTCTCTATGTGTCAAATAAATAAATAAAATCTTAAAAAACAATTCTATAGATAGAACTAATTATCTTAGTAATGTTAAAAAGGTATGAGTATCATTTACTAGGCTCAGAGGTATACCCTGCAGTTAGAATATTGCTAACAGTAAAGGACTAACAAAGGAAGATTTACTATGTATACAGATATTTGATAAATTAGTAAACTGAACGGCATCCCAAATTTAGACTATGACTTTGATCATTTCCTGACACTACATCTATAGCAGTATTTTACATATATTTGAGCAAGTAAAAATATTTGACACCTAGTTTATGTCTCATGAAAGATCTAAAACACATTAGTTAAACTAAAGCTAAAAAGCTAAACATAAAAAGCATGTAGAAAAAAATCAGTTACTTAAACAACTGCTTAGGACTTAATACTTTCGTATTATTTTAATCTGCTTACCCGAAGCTTTAATGGGGCAACATTCTTCTGAGTTCCACTCCAAAGTTCCTGTACTAAATCCCCATAGCATTTGGCCATATGCCCCTTCATACCAATGGGATTTGTCCTAGAAGTTCGAGAGGAAAATTTGTTGCCAAAGGTTCTCATAAATCACAATCACATGGGCACAGAAATGTCTAGCATCTATTTTCTCACATCAAAATTTCTTTTTAAAACAAGAGAAGTACCCCTTGCCCCTTATTTCATACTAAATAGGGCAAATAAGATAAGTCTTTTCTCCCCCAGGGTGAAGAAAGAGATTTAAGTGATAGTGGGTTCATATCAAAGTCATAAAGAGAGGGTAATGAACTATTACCTGTTGAGTTCATAAAGATGTCTCCCTGAGATAAAATACTGTGTCAGTGGCTGTGTGTTACTAACACACTGGATGCTTGAGTTCATGAAGCAAGTGTTTCCCAGGTTACTCAGACCAGTGGCTCCTTTTTCTGTGGGAACTGGAACAAACAATTATGAGAAGGAAGCCTAACTATAGTAAGATGTCGCAGGCAGACCAGTTACTTGTATTTGACGCAACGATTTTTTAATTTTTTTTAATCAGCTAAATGGAGCTAAAACTTCTTTATCTGGTCTTGGAATGCCAAAGTAGAGAAGGTTTTTCATAGAGAGTCACTGGCAATCATGATAATCCAAGCTCATTTGTGATCTAAAACTAGCAAAGATTCTCTTTAACTGCTAAGATAGTTTTTTACAATTCAAACAATTCTCTCCTAGTATTATGTCTTTAAAAATATATAAATTATTTAATTGCAAGGTTAGAAAAAAAAAATTGATACTCCAGGAAAAAGAAAAAGGGGTCCTAATCAATTTTGAACTAGAAAGCCAAAAGTTGTTAACACTTCAATAGTTGAGAAAGAAAAAAAGAATAATTTTAAGATAATCTCTTTAGAAATAATTAACCAGAGACTTACCCTTGTGTCTATCTATTTTACTACTGTTTGCTATAAAGGACATTTCCTCAGGCCAACTCATATCTTTGTTGCGAACTGGAAAGACAGAGAGAGGAACGTGTTAATTTCTTATCCATTCAAATCACACCCACTCAATTGCTTCTGTTTAAAAAAAATTTTTTTCTTATTTCTAAATCAGAAACTGAAAAAAAAAATTGAGTTAATTTTAGTAATTGATTCTGAAACCATTCCAACTCTTTATATTGGGGACTTTATAGCTACTTGATTAGAATTCATTAGTAAGCTAGTCCCTCAATTACCAACCTGAATTAAAATTATACTCAAACATCTATAGAAGTAATTAAAGCTCTTAAACTTAATGTATTAGATTTATCACAATTCCTTCTTAAATTATGACAACTGTTAGAGTAGTCTATTTTATTTTTTCAACTTCTTTTTTAAATTTTATTTTATTTTATTATGTTATGTTAATCACCATACATTACATCATTAGTTTTTGATGTAGTGTTCCATGATTCATTGTTTGCATATAATACCCAGTGCTCCATTCAATACATGAGAGACTATGGACTCTGAGAAAGAAACTGAGGGTTCTAGAGGGGAGGGGTTGGGAGGATGGGTTAGCCTGGTGATGGGTATTAAAGAGGGCACGTATTGAATAGAGCACTGGGTGTTATAATCTATTTATTTTAATACAAAGGCAGTCTGCAATGTTTCCAAAAATCCTGAAGGGGAAAGATACATTTTAAGTTTACAGTGACATGTCCATGTCAGTGTGTAAATCTATGTGTGAATATACAAGTTCTATTGGCGAGTGACCAGTGTTTGATGACTAATGAAAGCCTCGGCCACTAACTATGCCAGAAAGTTAGTTTTCTTACTCAAACTCAAAAACTCAGGTTGAAATTTTATAAATTTATAACTGAATTCACTTGTTTCTACCCAATGTTTCTATTCCTTGTCAACCAATGAAAGCAGACATATTTTTCTTTTAAAGCACTCTAGATAGTATGTAGGATTACATAAGAGCTTAATGGTTTTTCTTTACTATAAAGAATATAATGATCAAATAATAGCCAGAAAAATTATAAAACAGATTATTAGTAACTAAATCTTTAAATTCTTTCCCTAAAATCTAATATAGATGCATGCTTCCATCTTATACCTTCAATTACCAGATGCTGCTCATCTTGGATTTTCAAATATTCCAATCTATGATCCTCATCATCCAGAAGAGTAAGGTAATTCTGTGTATGGAGGAGAAAATGTTTTTGTTAATTTGATTACTAAACTTGAAACAGAAAAGGAAATAAAAATGAATGATAATTAAAACAATTAAACATGTCCTTGTAGTTCTCTAACACATGTGACAGATATTTCGCATATTATAGTTCATAAATATTTATAATTTAGGTAGCAAAATGAGAGAAAAACAATGTCAACTTCATAAACAAATACTTTATGCTCTAAAACAAAATTATAACAGAATTTTGGGGAGATCGGAAGATTCATCACACATCAAACTAAAATTCATTGAGATTTAGATTTTTCTGAAGCACTTGTACAAAAGAAATTTTCTTTACTATCTAGTATGAAATTCAGTAAACATGCTTATGATCAAGATGAAACTTACCAGGAACCAAAAATATAAAATCAAAGTCCTACAGTAGAATTACATGTTTTTGTTTGTGCTCACAAAACTAAGTTATTTAATTCTAAGGGAGATACTATTATGTTGCCCGCCTACTCATGAGAAAATTGAGACAGTTAAGTGACTTGCTCTGGGTTATACAACTAAACAAGTGGCAGGGCCAGGATTTAATCCCTGGCAGTGTGGCTCCAGGAACTGTGCTCTTAACTATTATACTATACTGCCTCTCAATGGTGATCACAGGAGGATATAAAGAGGGAACAATGGAATAGAGAACTGGTTAAAACTACTTATGATCCAATTTCAGAGTATACTCTGAAAACATACTGCATATGTTAGGAAGAATATATAAGCAATTAATAGCACTACTTCTGAGGAGGATGGAAGACAGAGGTCAGAGGATGAGAATGAGGAATTTTCACTATATACTTTTGTACTGTTCGGATCTTTTTCAGCATGTGTACAAGTCACCTTACAACAGGAAATGACTTACCTCACTGTTGTAGAGCCACAGGCGCATATCTTCCTCTTTGATGCGTAGCCTTTGAGACAGATATTCATGAATTTCCTTGATGGTCTGCATTCGACTAAAACAGCCTGTATAGGCTAAGACCCGCTTTAATGGCGCATTCGGAGAAGGTACATTTCCTATGGTCATGGTAATCATAATAAGGAAAAAGGTAGGTGTAAAAAAAAAAGCACCCCACTCAGCAATGACTATTTTAGGAAATAATGATGAGAAATGAGAATTATAGGATTAATAATTTTATAAATTAAGAAGCTTTAAAATTAAGATAGGAGACCAACTGTGTTTAAGTTCAAAGCCTTAACTTTGGAAGGAAGAGCAACAAGACCAGAAGCCCAAGTAACAGGCAATATTTGGATCCCAAGAGGAGTGGCAAGTATCAACAACAGACACGGTATCTTGGCTGCCCTCAGCAGGGTCACACTCAATAGCAAAATCAATATTCAATATAAGAATGGGGAAGATCATATGGGACTTGATTTGAATTCCACAGATAACTGGATTCATTCAAAAGAATTCCACAGAAAATTGAATTTGTTAAAAAGAAAACCACTGGCCCCAAATGGGATCACTTATGTTAAAGCTCTAAGTCAGTAAACCAAGACTTAATACCTGACCTAACTGCAGTTTCAAATCCCTAGAAATGTAACCTTTAACCGGTCAACATGGGAATTTCCTGGTCAGTACTAGGAAATTTATTGATAGACCCTACTATTCCCTTTAAGAGGGAGACCTTGCTTAAAACAATGGAATCTTTGTGAAGAGTTTCCTTTTTTCCACTCCCTCTCTACCTTTAAAAATCTTTTTTCTTTTTTTCTTCTTTTCTTTTTTTTTCTGTAGCTCTTGGGAGCACCCCTCTACTTGCTAGAAGGGATGTTGCCAGATTCATAAATCAATTAATAAAGCCAATTAGATCTTTAAAATTTACTTGACCGGTTGAATTTTTGTTACTTAACAACGTGACCCACTTTCTTAAAATAAACTGTCTTTGAATTACTAATACCATCACTCCCAGTAATTAAGTGCCCCAATTACCAGGCACAGAAGTACAATTACACAAGAAACTTTTACTTAAAATTCTAAATAGGCAGAGACACTACAATGGCCAGAGTTTAAAATGAAACCAAGAACCTTCCCATGACAAAAAAAATTGCCCCGCTGAAAAGGCAGGAGGCAGGAAAACCATATGACCTGCCTGCAAAATAAGATGACAGCAGAAATGATCTTGAATTCCAAGAGGGCTCAAGAAACAAAAAGAATGGTAGTGAGGGGAAAGAGAGATAAGTGAAGAAAGAATATATCAAGTTTAACCACCTACTTCAAAAGAGAAGGGGGATGAAGTGACAAGAGATTACGGAAGTTAAAAACAGGTTGCTAAAACAATTAACTAAACCTTGGTTAACTATTCAGCCAAAAACCCAGGCAAGAGCTGTAGCTTAAAATGGTCCTCTCTAGCTATAGTAGGTTATAGTTTACTAAGCAGCCCAAAACAAAAATAAAGCATATCAATGTAATCCATCCAGGGTACAATTATACATGCCAGGTAATTTTCTACCCATCCAATGGAGACTTAGCTTTTTTCCTCTTATTAATGCCTTTGAATCTTCACCTACTAAACAAAGCAGAGAAAAGTACTTGTATCATCTGCTTTTTTTTTTTTTAAGATTTTATTTATTTGACAGAGAAAGACACAGCGAGAGAGGGAACACAAGCAGGGGGAGTGGGAGAGGGAGATGCAGACTCCCCACTAAGCAGGGATTCTGACGTGGGGCTTGATCCCAGGACCCTGGGATCATGACCTGAGCTGAAGGCAGACGCTTAACGACTGAGCCACCCAGGCGCCCCAATCATTTATTTTTTTAAAGATTTTATTTGACAGAGAGAGACACAGTGAGAGAGGGAGCACAAGCAGGGGAAGTGGGAGAGGGAGATGCAGACTCCCCACTAAGCAGGGATTCTGACGTGGGGCTTGATCCCAGGACCCCGGGATCATGACCTGAGCCGAAGGCAGATGCTTAATGACTGAGCCACCCAGGTGCCCCATCATCCGCTTTTTTAAGAGCTTCCAAAAAGAATTCACTCACCTAAAATAGGCTGAAAAACCATATAAGAAACAAAGACCCTGTAGCCTTATCTGTCAACAAGGCTATGTTTAAGTCATTGTTAACTGTGTCACAGTTTGTACACCCATCACTTCAGAAGTAATAAAAGAGTCTAGTAAACAGCCCTAATACATTGAGTAATAAGAAAGATGAAAAATAAGTTATGGCAGAACAAAACCCAACCATGATCAATTTTTTTTTTTAAAGATTTTATTTATTTATTTGAGAGAGAGAGAGAATGAGAGAGAGAAAGCATGAGGGGGGGAGGGTCAGAGGGAGAAGAAGGCTCCCCGCCGAGCAGGGAGCCTGATGTGGGACTCGATCCCGGGACCCCAGGATCATGACCTGAGCCGAAGGCAGTCGCTTAACCAACTGAGCCACCCAGGCGCCCCATGATCAATTTTTAAACACACAGCCTAGCAAATATTTTACTATCAGATAGCAAGCAAAGGATAATTCTTAACAGAAAATAAAAGAGCAAAATTTTCCAATTATACATCAGAGGATTAGTTATAAGATTACAGCAAGAAAGCATATTTTCATAAACTTCAAAACGATTAATGATTGATTTCAGAATGAATTAGTAAGGAATAAAATTTCAAATTAAGAATAAATTTGGAGCATAACTACCAGTTCTAGGATTCAGAAGCATTTGCAAGTGTAGTGTCCAAGTCAATTTCTATTGTCGTAAGCCACATAAATTTATTTGAATTCTAGACAGTTTTTATAGCATAGCTCATTAAGCAGGCAGCCACTTATTACACATAATTCTGTGTTTTTGAATAGCACCAACAAATCTAGTGGAATTTACAGAAGCAGCAAAAATCTAGGATCAGCACAAGAGTTACAAAGAGTACTTACTAAAAGCACAACAACACATCTTGCCTCTCATGTTATCTTTCAAAGAGAATTGAGAAAGATATATGCTATGGGTGCCATGGAAGCAAGGTGAATATTTTTGTTCAATGGAAAATTAAATCAAGAATGTTTCATAGTGCTTCTATTTCACTGCTCCTCGATTTTGACATTTTCCCCAAGTTTGGTTAGGCAGAAGCCAATGCTTTGCTATAATTCTTACCAAACAATATGTGTAAGAATATCCAATATATTATGTGACTAAAACCTTTAAGGAAGACAGAAAACTATTTGATTTCAAAGGAGGAATGGTGCTTACAGGGTTGGTTTGGGTTCAAAGGTAGTTCTTGCATCCTAAGTTATATTAATAACATTCTGGCATTGTTACACAAAGTAAGACCTTGTGTAAATGGATAACTCATTATTTCTGCTGAAGAACAATGTCAAATATTTGCAAAGCAAAAGCATAGAGCAAGTCCTGCCTGTCAATAAAATTTAACCTCACAGAGAAATCAAAGGGGAACTTTCTGCATGCAATACATTAAAATGGGAACTTATATGTCATTTTGATAGGCTTGATGTTTTTCAAAGCAAATGTGCGATTTTAATTTTCAAAAATATATTCTTCACTTTATATTATCTGTCTCTTATAAAGACTCCTTGGACCAAGCATGAGAAATGTATCATGTTTTGCCAAAAGAGTCCCAAAAAACACCAACAAACAAACAAAACTATGATACTGCGAAAGAAATTACTTTTCAGAAATTTGAGTGGAGCTGAAAAGACCAGTCAGTCATCAACTGGCAGATTCTAACTTACGACAAGCAAATAATTTATAATGGCTTTTTTTCTTTGTATGCTTACAAACCAGAAAAGGAAACAATTCTTCTCCGTTTGATGATGAGACTTTGCCACTACCCCATCTAGTCTTGCGCATGACCATAGATCTAAGCCCCACAGACGATTTACTGATTCCGTATGAAAGTAGATGGGAATATGTGTTAGTGCAGTGGCACCAGACTTTGAGCAACTTGGTTGTTTTTGTTTTTGAAAGAGATGTATGGTATTCTTGCTGCATTCTTAAGTTACCTCTTGGTAAATGCTGAGGAAACATTCTCAGGCTCATCATACCCATATTCACCCAGATGTTAGACTGCTGTGTCCGAGTGGCAGGCTGCTGTCTTAGAAAGAGAAGATATCGAGGAAATAACTCCAGCTCTGGGATTTCTGTCTTGCTATTCTTGATCACCTATTGTTATAAAAGATATAATGTGATCACTATAAAAGAAACAAAACTTGTCATTTTTTACTGAATTTCTGAGATTTATTTTTAAACTAAAATGTTCAATAGGTTCACTATCTATGTTAGATTATAGGGATTCATAGATTTAAATACTCTCAGGCTCCTGGTCCTAAACCCATCTTCCAAGATTAGAACTCCTGGTGATTATTTTCTCCTCTTTTATTTAAAAGCGAGTAACACTGAAATTAAGGGGAAAAATCTTAAACATTATCTATAATTCTATTCCCTTCACACTATAATTCTTTTCACTTTTACATACTTCATGTATGTAAATGATGTCCTTTAAGGGACAAATTCTTAGGACTGGAGTTATAAGTCAAAAAGTATAGAAGGCCATATCACTAACTACCTAAGTCATTTTGCCAGCCAAAGTGTAGCAATTTATAATATTCTCAGAAATTTATGAATGTATTTCTCTCATAAAACCTTATCAGTGGACATCATTTGAAAATATCTTGTTTTTTTAACACATATAAAAAATATAAATTTGCTTAAAATTTTATTTCTTATATTAGTAGTAAGGATAAAAATGTTTTCATATAAAACTTTGCTATGTTCTACTGTAACTGGTTGACTCGATATATTTTTGTCTATGATAAAAACCATTACAGTGGGTGAACAAAATTGAGATTCATGTTGAAACAGGATTTTTCAATAACCCCCTCCAATAATGTGCTTGCCAGCCCAAAGACACAGGAAAACATTTTATTATAAAAATATTGCTCCAAGAGTTTTAAGAGTAGAACATTAGCAATTTAGTATTCCAAAAGGATAGCAGGATTAACATACTTTAAAACATAAAATCCTACATAAACTTTAACAGTCTCAAGTGATCAGGTTTTATTTTATTTCCCTCTGCCCTAGTAACCAATGTCTTCTGCAATAGAGCATTTTTCAATATCAAGAGGGGGCAGTAAAGAACCAAATGAAAACAATGCTACAAACCAAACCGTTAGGACTTTTTCTTAAAAGTATTCTGCATATCCTGATATGCTACAGAGTATGGCACTTGAGAAGCTCCATTTGGGAGCTTTTTCAAATCCTACTTAAATGATAAGCAGTACAACTGCTCTCCCTGGTATTCTCCTCTAAGACTGCTGGACGAAGTCTGTCCACCTTTAGACAGGTACTAATAGCTACAAAGCCAACCATAATTTCTTATGATTTTAGTTTAATATGACTTGAGGCAAGATTAATAATTCAGTATTGGTAGTTGTCAGGCTACATAAAAACATACCTTTGACAGAATTTGAACTGATAATGAAGTAGTTTTTATAAATGCATCTTGTTTGCCAAGAGAACAAGTGATTTTGTGAAAAATTACAAATTAATAAATTCTTTTTTTTTTTTTTAAAGATTTTATTTATTTATTTGAGACAGAGAGAATGAGAGAGAGAGAGCACATGAGAGGGGAGAGGGTCAGAGGCAGAAGCAGGCTCCCTGCCGAGCAGGGAGCCCGATGCGGGACTCGATCCAGGGACTCCAGGATCATGACCTGAGCCGAAGGCAGTCGCTTAACCAACTGAGCCACCCAGGCGCCCACAAATTAACAAATTCTTATGCACATACAAAAACACATATTTATTTACATTTTAATTATTCTTATCTTTGAACTTGTTAACTTCAGTGGCAACTGGCAAACAATAGATGCAATTCCATGTGCAAGAATTTGCCTTAAAGAGATCATCACACGTTTGGAAAAAACCCTGAGATCAAGACCTGAGCTGAGATCAAGAGTCAGTTGCTTAACCGACTGAGCTACCCAGACACCCCAAAGATATTTTTAAATAAGTAGTATGACTTATGTAAGTATGAAGGTGAAAGCATTCACTTTTAACCTTGCCATGGCAATACATTTAGTATTCTCTACCTGAAAACACCATTTTATTTTACTTTTTTTTTTTAAGATTGTATTTATTCATTTGAGACACAGAGATACAGAGAACGAGAGAGAGCATGAGCAGGGGGAGAGGCAGAGGGAGAGGGAGAAGCAGGCTCCCCGCCTAGCAGGGAGCCCGATGTGGGGCTCGATCCCAGGACCCCAGGATCATGACCTGAGCCGAAGGCAGACGCTTAACCATCTGAGCCACCCAGGAGCCCTGAAAACACCATTTTAAATGTTTTTTGCAGCATTTTTTCCTGAAATCAGGCAAATGTGTCATATTTAGAGATGAAAAAAATTCTATCAAGCTAGCAAATGCAGCTTTGATCTAGTAAAATTATTTTAATATTTGTCTGACATCAATGTAAAAAATAGGACCTTGTGTGAGGCTCTGAAAAAACTCATTTAATGATGATGATGATGATGATATTAGCAATTGTCAGCATTCGCTGACCACTTACCATAAATCAGATGCTGTGCTAATTGTATGTATTATTTAATTATCAAAACAACTCTAATGAAGTAGATATGGTCATGTTCATTTTAGAGAGAGGAAGAAACTAAGGTTTAGAGATTGGAACACTGGTAATCCAAATCTAGGCAGGCTCTAAAATATCAAACTATATATATGTCAAACACAATTATCACAATGTTTTCCCAGATATATTCCCAGATATAGAATATAACGATAAAGCTGGAAAGTCCCAGAAATTAAGTAACTAACTGAAGGACTACCCCACCTCCCAATAAATAAAGTATATATATGTATATGTATCTATGTATATTCGTATTTATATGTATCTTCTAGGAGTTCTGATGCCAAATACAGTAGGAACCTTTCAGAGCCAACAAACACAAAGCCCAAATTCCTGATTCCGACTTAAACACAATTTTTAATAAACATAATTATTAGTAAGTCAAAGTCAACATCAAAATTATAGACTAAGGCTTTATAGCAGACTTTTTCCTCTCTTTGGAAGTGATCTAAGTTACTGTATCTCATTTATGTAAACTTTTCTGGTATAAGAAAGTTCTATCTGGGACATTATATGAGGGAGAGTGTTTCTTGATCTACAAAAAGAACCTTCTTACGAAGTAATTTACTGCATTGACAACGCAAAGAGTATTCAGGGTATGAGTCCTGTTGTTTACTGTATAAGCCCAAAAGTATAATGGTATAGTTAACTCACTAATATTGTGATATTATATACTTCAAGTCTTTTAAATTACTTTAGAGCATTTTATTTATGCTCTCAATGACTCATCCTAATAATGGCAACAATCAGAATTCACTTGCCTTGGATTCCTGTTATCATCCTGTTATGATCATTTTTGTCCTTCCTTCAGAAAGACAAAACACAAAAATCTACCAACAACTATGGGATGAACCAATCCCTAACTGGATGCCTGTGTGGTTAATAAAAATAACAGTTTCAGAAGTAATCATTGCACCACTTCCCCTATATTCACTGAACTTTTTGGCACCGGCTCTCAGACTTCTGCTCCAGCCTAAGCCCTACATTATCCTAAAGTCTGCGTTTATATGGATGACTTATTTAATAGCCTAGCCTCACAATCCCTTGACTTTTATTTAGTCCAGTGACTACTCCCTCCACTCCAGGTAAGCCACCCACTCCCACAGGCACATCACTGTAGAGCTGGTACTAATACAGTGCTCGGTAAATGTATGAATAAATGAATGAATAAATGTAAAGAAATCTAAATTTTGTTCAACTAATTTACAGGTACTGAGTACTCTGTTGCCATTAGTAAGAACTAAATTGTGGATAGTGAGATTCATATAGAAAAGTAATGGAAGACCCAACTAGGACTGTTCCTTATATAAAGCACCATTGGTTATACTTACAGGTCTAGGTAGAGCCAGGTTTGCTCCATACCAGTGATAAAGTGCTCTCCACACAGGTTCTGGGACCATTTCATAATCTCTTCCATGGATCAGCTGTGGGGTTCGTTTTAATCGTCCTCCTTCTAGTGTTAGTGATGTAGCCTTAGAAAGAATGGAATACAAATGTTGATTTTTAGTATTTTTAGTGTTACAGTCTCGTGTTTTAACAAAATCTAGACACAGGAGAACAAACACATATGTCACAACTCAGTTTCATGTTATCGGAAAATAATTTTCTAAAAGAGATTTTTATTTATTTTTTATTTTTTAGTTATTTTTTTATTATTATTTTATTGTTATGTTAATCCCCATACATTACATCATTAGTTTTAGATGTAGTGTTCCATGATTCATTGTTTGTGCATAACACCCAGTGCTCCATGCAGAACGTGCCCTCCTCAATACCCATCACCAGGCTAACCCATCCTCCCACTCCCCCTCCCCTCTAGAACCCTCAGTTTGTTTTTCAGAGTCCATCATCTCTCATGGTTCGTCTCCCCCTCCGATTTCCCCCCCTTCATTCTTCCCCTCCTGCTATCTTCTTCTTCTTCTTTTTTTTTTTTTCTTAACATATATTGCATTATTTGTTTCAGAGGTACAGATCTGAGAGTCAACAGTCTTGCACAATTCACAGCGCTTACCAGAGCACATATCCTCCCCAGTGTCTATTACCCAGTCACCCCATCCCTCCCACCCCACCCCCCACTCCAGCAACCCTCAGTTTGTTTCCTGAGATTAAGAATTCCTCATATCAGTGAGGTCGTATGATACATGTCTTTCTCTGTTTGACTTATTTCGCTCAGCATAATACCCTCCAGTTCCATCCACGTCGTTGCAAATGGCAAGATCTCATTCCTTTTGATGGCTGCATAATATTCCATTGTATATATGTACCACAAGAGATTTTTATTTTTAACTTTAGAAATAAATTATTTAAGAAAGAGAACTCAAGGCAAATCATTTGAAAAATCATTACAGCATTTGGAAATAAGACTGGCTGAGAAATTATTATTTTGGAAAAAAATTCCACATACACATAAAACTGCATTTTCAAAGTAGCTGTCCTAATAAGTAAGAATATTTCTAAGTATTACTACACTACTTCTATGCAATTACTAAATCATAAAATATCCTCACAGAAACATACTGTGCAGAGATTTCCATCTTCAACAGGTTAATTTAATGAACCATGAATGTACAAATGTCACGCTGTACATTAAAACCTCTAGAATGAAATTTATTTGCCACTTTTTTGAAAGAGAATTGTTTTACATAGATGTCATATCACCTACCTTTACAGGTTCTTGAGTTACTAGTGGCTGGTTATCAATAGCCCCTGGTTTCTGAGGATTGAGATGCAACAAAATATTCCCATTGGCTCCTAGCAAGCACTGGTTATTATTGTCAGACGTGTTATGTTGTCGGGCAAAGCACATATCTGCTCCTGGTGTGGCAGAATACAGAAAGCCTGTGAGGGAAAAGAGGATGGAATCTCTTTATTTTTAGTTATTATACATAAATAGGGGGGCGCCTGGGTGGCTCAGTCGTTAAGCGTCTGCCTTCGGCTCAGGTCATGATCCCAGGGTCCTGGGATCGAGCCCCACATCGAGCTCCCTGCT